GTAGCTTTGTACGAAATCCGTAACAAACAAACAAACATAGAGAAAAGTCCGTGAATAATTCTACATCTATTGTCTCTTTCAGTCCACTTGTTACAAATCGCAACATATCCTTCTGTCTATTAGATCCTTCAACTTGTAGTTTTATGCAGTGATCATGTGGCTGTGAGGTTGGTTTAACTTTGAGATTAATGGACTAAAGAACAAATATTTTATTATTTTCTTTCAGTTTAATGGTTAAAAAAACATTAATTCATATATATATATTTTTACAGTTTTTTCCTTTTTGTAACATAAGATCTAATCTCATGTTCACAGCAGAGAAATTTTAATATTTTCGGTATGACAGACGTGACATGGTTAAACTCTGTTTTATTTCACTTTATTTTATTAGTTTGTTTTGTTTTTTTTTTACTTTAGAGTCTCTGTCATCTACTTATAAAGTAGAGTGTCAAGAATTTTCCAGGCTTGTACTCCTGTTTGCCGATGCTGGACTGATAGGAAATCAAAAGGGTTATTGTGTAACATGGCACCAGATATTGAAACCTGTTGTGGAAATCATGTCCAAGGCAAATTCTCGAGTCTATCTGAATCAAACTTTATACTATAAAGCAGTCCTGTTTCTGGTGGAGCTTATTTTACATGCTGAAACACTCATGCAAGATGACCATGGTAGGAATTGAAGTAATTCACAGTTCTGAGGATGGAGACACTGATAAAAAACAAAATAATGTTGGGTGTAGATTATAAATTATACTTTATACCTAAGTTTGTGTTATTTTTTGTATTAGTGATTATATTATTCAAATAGTTTTTCTGTTTTCTGTAAATTGATCTTGACTAGTATTTACACTAATTTGAATTTACAACATTTAAAAGGTGTTTGATTTAACCCTCTGTGCATTCTATGACTTTTTACAGAGTGCCATTTTAACGTGTTATTATGTATTTGATGTCAGAGTTACCAACTGTCCATTTTACCCTACATTACTGATTTAACAATAGTTCTTGGTAGGGTAGAGAAAATAACATATACAGTGTACAGGGATATTGAAAAAACTGTAGACATGCATTTTGAAAGTTCTAGAGTTATGCAACTTTAATATGCAAACTGTACAATGTACAAATGTATTTTTATCCTTCATATGAACATGACCTCGTATTCTTCGCTTGTCAGAATCTGAGTCAGACTTACGTCGTCAACTCATAGACATATCTCGAGTACAAATAATTTTGTAACACATCTGATTTTTTGTTTACAACAGAGTTGTACATTTTGCTAAAAGCTTGCCACATTTCATATAGATACATGTAGTAAATTTGAAATTATAATCAACATATCCTCAGCAATACATACTTAACTTTTTGTTCAAGGTCAACTAGAAATTTTCTAATAATATTTTGGTCATAGTTAAAACAGATCCAAGTTATCACCTTATAATGGTATGCATAAAAAACAAAATTGCACTTAAGTCTTTGTATAGAAGTACTGTATGATAGTGTAAATCTTTGTATAGAAGTACTGTATGATAGTGTAAATCTTTGTATAGAAGTACTGTATGATAGTGTAAATCTTTGTAGAAGTACTGTATGACAGTGTAAATCTTTGTATAGAAGTACTGTATGATAGTGTAAGTCTTTGTATAGAAGTACTGTATGACAGTGTAAGTCTTTAGAATTGGGAATTGAAGTACATGATTTTATTAAAGGTTATTTTGTATAGAAGTTCTTGTTAGAGGCTTGCATTCGAGTCTTATTTAAAGCTTGTATTTGAGTCTTATTCAAAGGCTTGTATCCGAGTCTTGTTTAAAGGCTTGTATCCGAGTCTTATTTAAAAGCTTTTATCTGAGTCTTATTTAAAGGCCTTTATCCGTGTCTTATTTAAAGGCTTGTATTCGAGTCTTATTTAAAGGCCTGTATCTGAGTCTTATTTAAAGGCTTGTATCCGAGTCTTATTTAAAGGCTTGTATCCGAGTCTTAACCAAAAAATGTAGTTCTAGAAAGTAAGATAAATGTAAACGTAAAGAATGATGATAAAATAATATTTTATTATGTAAGTATATATGCAAATTGTTTATGGTTTATGTCTATAATTCTTGTTATTTTTCAAATATTTTGAGTGACTTTGAAAAATTTGACTAAATGCTACATTATTTATATAAGCTTTGGTGAACTATTAATTGCTTTACAAAATATATACTGGCCACTCTCTCTTTCTTTTTGAGATTAATATACACAACAGAAGCATTGAAAAATTTCTTATTCTGGACTAAAAATACTATTATTATAATGGGCCTAATATTAATGACAAAAATCTCACTAGATTGCACGTTTTTATTTGTTCTATTAGGCATAAGACAAGTATAAAAATAGTACAAAAATGCTCTTCTTTAATTTTAATTACTCCACTACAAATTTCAAATCAGATATGTTTAAAAGTAGAATTTTAAATGTCTATTTTGTCTGTCACTTGTCTTTGCTCAGGAGGATTTTTTGTTTGATCCCAGCCATTCTCTGGGGTGGACATGTTGGCAGACAAAAGTGTCCAATATATTAATGAACAAAGAGTTTTCTTAGCAGCAATGCAACATGTGGCAGACAAAAGTGTCCAATATATTAATGAACAAAGAGTTTTCTTAGCAGCAATGTAACATGTGGTAGACAGTAAAAAAAAAGATTTAAAATGCTATTAGTACATGTTCCTGATCTTTAAACTTGTAATTCAGAGCAATGTGGAAAACACATCTGCTGTCTAGTGTGATTTTTATCACTGGTATTAAACCTATTGGTTTCATTACTTCATCAACTTTTGGCATTTAAAACTATAATACTAAATGTTTTATGTATCATAAAAATAGCAAATTGTTTTCTATTGAACAGATATTTGTTAAAGTATATGGGCTGGGTCCACTAGATAGGAAGTTCGTCAAACACTGTCACAGAGTGTGGGTCAGTGTTCCCTTAAACTTTGACTGAGGTCATCAACAAGAAAAACCCCATACACAAAATGTACAACAACAATAATTTATTTCAACACAAACTATTGTTAAAGAAACGGACAAGTGTTTGTAATTGGTATTTGGAACCTTCATTGGTTCTCTCTTACCAGCTTAGTTTGAACCTCCTCCACCAGGTAAAATAAAACCTTTAAATGTTAAAATGAGTTAAAGCTACGAATATTGAAGTTTTGATAACATGAAAAATCTCTAGCTGTATAAAATATAAATCAATCTAAAGTCTGGATAATTATCAATCTTTTAAAGTGTGCTTAACAAGAGAGAGCCTGGCTTTAAATACTGAAATACACTAATACAACAAAGTCAGGCTAATCATGACATGCACCTCACACAGGTGATCCTAAAACACGTGAACGTGGTTGTGGAAACCCTAAGTCATTACTGAATAGCCAGCTGTCCATTTTGTGACATCATGAATGAAGTTGTAACTGTCTTTCCTGCAAGAAAACACACTTAATGAGTGAATCTGGTTCAATATGCAATAAGGAAAAGTTGTGTTTACTTGAACAGCTTTCTTCATCTAAACTGAACTGAAAGAAAACAGAAATGGTGAAAACTTACCTATTAACTAAGCATGTAGCATGATATCATTCTGTACCACACCAACTCAAATGATGAGTTCTGTAATTGAACAAAATGCCTCTTGGGCAGCAATGTCTAATTTGAACCCTGTAATAAGAGGAATGTGAAAAGAAGAAAAAAAAACATCTACAGTGTGGTGTGGTTTTTATCATTAATATTACACCTATAACTTTGCCAGCTCATTGTTATGTAAGCACAAGTAACTGATGTTGAAGGATGTTTTTTTTTAACAGATGAAGTTACAATGCAAGTTGTAGAAGAAATAACTCCTGCAGTGAATGTGACTGCTGAATACCTTGTAAAACAATTATGTAAAAGCCCGTCAAGTGTAAGTATCTTTATTTATGTATGTGTAGGTATGTCTCTCTATATATTATAATTAACACATTATAAAAATATTTAAAAGCTCTTTCTTATTGTTAATTTAAAACACAGAAAAACACACATCCATAAAAGCCTGAAAAAAACATTTGGAACAATAACCAGCTGGCAACTGTCGAGGAAAATGTGTATGGAAAGGCAACTAAGAGGCTAGGTTATTTCTACTTGTAGATTTATACATGGAAATAAATGTTAACTTTATGTGGAAAAGTACAAGATATGTATTATATTATATATATATGTGTGTGTGTGTGTGTGTGTGTGTGTATTATATCTTTGTTTTTCTGGTAAATATGTTAAAATGTATCTACTAAAACATAAACTGGATATAAGCTTGTAAAACTGATCATTACAAGTGGGCTATGTATTAAAATAGATGGGAACTCAAAATCATTTTTATAGTTTAAATCTTACTTAAAACTGCATGTAATTAGTGTTCTTGCATGAGCAGCATAACATGTTTGAGTTAAATAGCTATTTGTAGTTTACGTGTTGTTCTTTACTGAGCCTCCCCCACTCCTGGTAACTCAGTAATAAGTCTAAGGGCTTATAACGCTAAAAATTGGTCTTTAGTTCCTGCAGTGGGCATAACACAGATAGCCCATTGTACAGTTTTGAACTTTGACAAACAATTTTTATTAATAGATATAACACACATTGTTTATTCTGTTAAGAAATATGACACTGTTTTTCTTACATTAATAAATATGACACATTTGTTAATCTATTAATAAATGTGACACTGTTTTTCTTACATTAATAAATATAATATTATTTATTCTTATGTTAACAAATATAACACATTGTTTTTCTTATATTAATCAATATAACACACACTGTTGTATTCTTCTTTTAACAAATATGACACATGTGCTTTGAAGAGTAATTATGTCAAGTGTTAACAGAAAGTGTTGGATTCACTTATATGATTATTTTTTTCTGTGACATTAAAAACTATATGGTATTAAGTAAGTGTTGAGAAACTGCATTGTTCATGGATTTATCCTTCATTTTTTAGGTTATCCTAATGAAAATTATTTTGAAATTTACTGTGCTCATTCTTTACTAACAACCTTTTAACCTTAAAAGTTTTCAACCATAATAGCCCTGTAGCTATGCAATGAAATGTTATAACATGGTTAGTCTAACATGATTTTGCTTTCCTGATTAACCAAGATGTAGGTTAACTTGAAGCTTTAATCTGTCTTCCCATATAGCTCTTACAATTTTTAACAATAAATTCCATTTGGTTTGTCTCATGTAAAAAAAAAATTTAACTTCGTCAATTTACAAAAAATATTTTTGAACTTAATCTGAACAAAAGTTTGATATGAATTTCAGAGTAACATTTCTAGTGGTAGCTTTAAAACATTACCATGTAAATACTTGTGCTTATATAAGCTTCATATAGTTTAAGATAGTTTGAAGTTTAAGATGCACTGTACTCCTCATAATTTTAACAGAAGTTGACCTTGAATGTGTGTTAAAGGTTTGAAGGATCAGAAGAAAACTTCACATTTGTTGTTGATTATTGATCAAAACGTTTCTTGTTTTTTCTAGGTAAGTGATGCAGAAAACATTGGAATATGTGATCTGGCTTTGAAAACACTGAGTAAGAGGATAGAACTAATTCCAGTGATCCTGCCTCATTTAACATGGTTGTTAGACCACTGCAGATCCATATTTTTAGAAGATAAGGTAATAAATATGAGTTTTTTTAGGTTAAATAAGGCATTCCTTTTTTTACCTAATGTTTTATATTGGTAATTTTTATTTACATGATTTACAGAATGACTTTAGATAATGTTTAAAACTGGGCTTAACAATGTATAGTTGAAAATGTTTAATTTTAAAACATTAAATTAGCATAATTGGTCTAATGAAATCTCATGTCCTCCTTGATCTTTGACTTGTCCTACATGATCTGTAGACGTTTTTGACTGGTATCTCTTTCCTATAGTTATGATTAGAACAACTGCTTTATATTACTTGTTCACCAGCCCTATTTTGAGGTTGAATAGCAGTATATGCAGTACTTGTGGATATTATTATCACTGTTCACCAGGCCTACTTTCAGGTTAAAAAGGAGTATATGCAGTATCTGTGGATATTATCACTGTTCACTAGGCCTACTTTCAGGTTGAATAGCA